AGCGGAGCTCAACCTGTGGGTCATGACCCCTTTGGGGGTCAAACGACCCTTTCACAGGTGTCGCCTAAGACCATTGGAAACATATATGTAATTACATATTGTTTTTGTGAGTAATCACTATGCTTTAGTTATGTTCAATTTGTAACAATGAAAATATATTCTGCATATTAGATATTTACATTATGATTCATAACAGTAGCAAAATTACAGTTATGAAGTAGCAACAAAAATAATTCTATGGTTGGGGGCCACCACAACATGAGGAACTGTATTAAAGGGCCGCGGCCTTAGGAAGGTTGAGAACCACTGCTCTATATAGTTCCGGACAGTGTGACTCTGTGTGTGTTTGTGTGTGTGTGTGTGTGTGTGTGTGTGTGTGTAAAAAATTGGTGAAAAAACAGTTAAAACCTTGTGTTGAGGGGGCCGCCCAAAGCCAGGCCCTCCACCGTCTCCTGGTCTCAGTAAAATCCCTGCGTCCAGGGCCCTGCAGTGCCTCCCCAGGGACCTCCCTGCTTCTGCCCAGCTCCTCCCATCTGTGCGTTAATCCCCCCCCCACACACACACACCCCTTCAGCCAGAGAGGCCTTTCCAGAAGCCACACTGTGCTGTGGGCACAAGGACAGCTCTCTGGTTTCATTGGGAAGCCACCCCTCCCTCTGCCGCAGAAGCCGCCCTGTGCCTCTGTCTGTCCGTCTCTCCACCCTCCCCGGCCCCTTTGGGACCACAGCCTTCGGTGCTATGAACCCCAGGCGGCTGCTCAGTGGCCGCCTGCTGCGGGCAGCGTCTCTACACAACCCCCTCTAACACCCACGGCATCTCTCCAAGCTCCCGACCCTACTTACAGGCAAGGATGGGCGCGGAGGGGACAGGGAAACGTGCCGAAGGTCTCCGGCCAGCGAGCGACACGGCCGGGCTGCAGCCGGCATGTGTCTGACACTCAGCACCCATCCGTCCTGGGACAGGCGTCTCCTGACCCTGCACAGCAGCCCAGGAGGGTAGGAGCCTGACGTTTCATCTGCTGTCACTCCCAGTCCCTGGGTGTGTGTTTGTGTGTGTTAGGTCCCCGCCTGCACACAGTAGGTCCCCGCCTGCGCACAGTAGATCCTGGGTGTGTTGAGAGCACCGTGCTGCATCCTGGCATTGGGCTGGATAGGGGACCATGCAGCACAGTCCTCGCCTGCTGGGATTATCCACAGCAGGGACACACTCTCAGGCCGCATCCCGGGCTGGGACAGGCGCTACGAAGGGCCCTGGGGAGCGTGTGACGCAGGGGCATGGCCTGGCCTGGGCCGGGAGAAAGCTTGGGTGCTCCGTGTTCTCTGATGGCGTTTATAAGGATCCCATTAGTCCTCTCCTGGCATATTAAGAATTCCGTACATCATTTCAGGCTGCCTCTCAGACCTCTGTAAACAGGCATGAATTCTGATGGGGTTGGGCTTTCTGATTTACTTTTCCCCAAGGAACTTAATCAAGACATGCAAGTGCCTTGTCTTCCCGACGCTCCTCTCCTGCCCTGGAGACTGTCCGGAGCCATCCTCGGTCTTCCTTCTGCTTCTGGGCCCTCCCGGGGGCGTGGCTCCGGCCCAGCCCGCTCCCAGGGGCCCGCAGAGCGGCCTGGGCCAGGGAGGTGCGTGGGGTCAGCGCCTGCCTTGTGGTTTGTTGCAGAGCTGGTGATGCTGCTGGAGTGGTGGTCGGGCACGGAGTGCGTCATCTACACGGACCCCCGGGCCTACCCCACGTTCGGGAAGGAGAACGCCATCGTGGTTCTGAACCACAAATTTGAGATCGACTTCCTCTGCGGCTGGAGCCTGGCCGAGCGCTTCGGGGTTCTGGGGGTAAGTTGGACGCCCGTTTGCCTTTCTGACACGTCGCTCGGTCGCACCCTGACTTGCCTTGGCTCTCGGTCGTGCAGAATTTGCAGCAGCATTAACGGGTTCAGCTGGAGGCGCTGCTTTTAACCGAAGGTTTTTCCTTCTGGACGAAGAGGCGCCTCCTCCTGTAATATTGATCCGGGATGACTGTGTGGTAGGCCGTGGACTCAGTCTGTGGATTTAAGCCTCCAGACACAGGCATGAGTGGGCAGGGCACGCCCACCTTCCTGCAGCGCCAAGTTCAGCTCTCCGGCTCAGGCTCACACGGCCGCTCAGCGGATTTGGGGTTGAAGTCCTCTGGTTTGATGCCACTTCATAGTCTTTATTTTTAAAATATGTTTTTATTGATTTGAGAGAGAGAAAAAAAAAAAAAGTCAATCCGCTGCCTCCTGCACACCCCACACCGGGATCAAGCCTGAACCCGGCATGTGCCCTGAACAGGAATCGAACCAGCAACCTCCTGTTTCACGGGACAGCACGCAACCAACTGAGCCACACCAGCCAGAGAAACATTTTATAGTCTTTTTAAAATATATTTTTATTGATGTCAGAGAGGAAGGGAGAGGGAGAGAGAGAGAGAATCATCAATGATGAGAGAACCATTGATCGTCTGCCTCCTGCACGCCCTCCACGAGGGATGGAGCCCACACCTGGGCATCATCTTTGTATTCAGTGCTCAGCAGTGCCTCTGTCTCAGGTGACCTTCAAATAATCACCTGACTTACCTCCTGTAGGACTAGCACGTGAGGCTGCGATTCTCCGATTCTCAGATTCTCCGCAGCCGGGAGTGGGGGGGACTTCTTTTCCTTTCCGAGGAGGTGGAGGCCCCTGACAGGCCTTCTTTGCCTCCCAGGGAGTGGCTGAGAGGGAGGGGTTTCCAGGAAGCAACTGGCATTTGCAGACACTCTTGGGCGTGGGCTATGCTCTAAGCACCCAGGGCCGCGTGGGCCTGGCGGTCTGTCCCCTGGGCATTTCACGGTGGGACCAGGGTTCGGCCATGATCTCTGAGAAAACACCGACTGCTCCCTCCTGTCGGTGCGATGACCTGTGGGCTCTGGGAGCGGGTCAGGGAAGTGCCCAGCAAATGTCACGCGTGAGCAGAGGGTCCAGGTTTTGGAAGCTGAGCGGCCCGCTTGCCGGTCTTTCTGCCCCAGTAACATGCCTGAGGCCCAGAAGGTCCCTGCAGATCCTGTTCGCCGGGCCTCTGAGGGGCGCGGGGCCCGTGAGTGGTGAGCACTCCACACGGTAGCTTCTCTTCAGTGTTTCCCCGGGAGGTGTGGCGGGTTCACCCGGGGCCGCTGGGCTGTTTAAGATCTTGGGAGAAGCCACCAGGATCCCTTAGCAGTGGCTGCAGGGCAAGCCCCAAACCTTGGCCTGACTCCAGGCCCGGCCCGGGGTCCTGGCAGGTGTCTCACTGTTGAGTCCGGCCGCCTCCCTCAACCTGCGGCTCACCGGGCGTGGGTGCTGCCCCCAGGCTCGCCCATGGACCTGTGGGGACCTGTGCATCTGCCCTCAAACCTGGCCCTCCTGGCATCCCTGGTCCTGGCGTCCAGCTCCCTCTGGGGCAGGAGAGAGGAGGAAGCACTTAGGGCCCACCCCACGGCCGCGGGTGACCGACGGGCCTCATTCTGCGTGAGGATGCGTGTGAGCCACATGTGCGCCCACGGCGTGAGTGCCCGCAGGCAGGCCCCGGCCAGCGTGGAGGCCCCGGCCACATCCCGGCTGCCTGTGGGGCCTCACGCCTTCAAAGTCTCCCTAGGGTCCCCA